GGGGGCGCAGTAAATGAGCCCTGCTGCTGGCTAGCCAATCCCCTTGCTGGGTGGGTCCTTCCTGCTCTCCTATTGGTTGGGACTTGTGTCAAGCATTGGCTAGCCAATCCCCTTTCTGGGCGGGTCCTTCCTGCTCTCCGATTGGTTGGCACTTGTCTCAAACATTGACTAGCCAATCCCCTTGCTTGGTGGGTCCTTCCTGCTCTCCTATTGGTTGGGACTTGTGTCAAGCATTGGCTAGCCAATCCCCTTGCTGGGCGTGTCCTTCCTGCTCTCCGATTGGCTGGGACTTGTGTCAAGCATTGGCTTGCCAATCCCCATCCTGGGCGGGCCCTTCCTGCTCTCCGATTGGTTGGCACTTGTCTCAAACATTGGCTAGCCACTCCCCTTGCTGGGTGGGTCCTTCCTGCTCTCCTATTGGTTGGGACTTGTGTCAAGCATTGGCTAGCCAATCCCCTTGTTGGGCGGGTCCTTCCTGCTCTCCAATTGGCTGGGACTTGTGTCAAGCATTGGCTGGCCAATCCCCATCCTGGGCGGGGCCTTCCTGCTCTCCGATTGGCTGAATCCGGCCACTCCGACTGGCTGGGAGCAGTGTCACGCGTTCCCGAAGCCGAGCTTCCAAACGTGGCCGCCGCTCCCCTTCCCAGTGTCTGCGGGCTCCGGCGATGAGCACAGTTCCAGACTTCGGCGTAAACCCCTTCCTCGGGGAGCGCTGTCCCTTTTCCGGCACACAGAGGGGGGGGCCCGCACGGAGCTTCGGCGTCACGCGGCGGTGGTGGGAGGGAGCACGGGCAGGAGGCCGGAGGAGTGACAGAAGCACACGCACACGGAGAAGGACAGCAGGCAAACCGGCGCGGGAGCAGAGTGACAGCACGGAAGCAAGCAGGGGCGATCGTGTGCCGGGTGTAGAATCCCCTTTTTTTTTTCCCCACAGGGAATTCACCCCTTAGCTCTGTCTTAGCGCTCCGCTAGCCCAGTACGGCACCCTGCATCCCCGCTTCCCCCTCCCACTGGGCCTCGACAATCAGGCAGAGGCTGCCTGAGTCGAGCCCCCGGCCCACCACGGGCTAAGGTGGGCATCCGGTAACGCCCGGGCCTTTTCCCAGATGGGAGGGGCGGGAGGGAGGTGGTCGGAAGAGCAGGGCAAATTCGGGCACAGAATCCGGAGAGCTCTTCGGGGGCAAAAGTCGAGAACACAGGGATCGCGGCGGTGCCCAGACCACGCCGGCATCGCTGCGTCTGAAAGCAGGTCGGCT